GGGATAATTATTTATTAAGCTTCTTATTTTTTCCTGCTTTATCTTTTATTTGATTTCCTATTTTCTCCTATTGAAAGATGGGAAAAAAAGTTGAGAAGCGACGCAAAAAAAATGTGGACTCTTTTACAATTTTTGTCTTAACTCTCCAACTTTGTTCAATTGGAACTAAATGAAGTGAAAAATTGTTAGAAAACGCATAAAACATTTGTCAAAATATATTTTTTATGTTATACAGCACGAAATTTTTAAACTAAATAAGCTTTCATTTTTCAAATAACTCATCTCTAATAAAGTGTTTTAAATTTGAAAACTATAATACATGATGAACGTGGTATATACAATGTTTTTTTCTATGAAAATCTTTCTTGTAGTACAAATGTACAGTACAATGTGGTAGCGTAACGCTGGTGTTGGAACTATATGATACATGACATCCTTAATTATTCTTTACTAGATATTGAATTATTCCCGATATCTTCAATTTCTGAATTAGGTAAAATTATTTGGATTATGTAAAATATGTTTCATTTATAGTTAATATACTCATCTATAAATTAATTACTTACTGTTCGGAATGCTAAAATTATGCTGACTATGATGAGCTAAATAATATAAAGAATGTTTAATTAAAATTTAGTATCAAAAAGTATAAATTAAGAATAATATACAGTGACCAAATACTGATATCTTACCTTCGGTAATAATTCTTATTTCAAGTAAATTTCCGAATTTACTAATATTATCGTTACTTGTTTGATGTTGCTTATTATTTTCGTATTGATTATTTTGATAATATAATTTTCTTACTTCAAAAATCTTATTATGAAGACTATTGATATCAGGTCTTTTTGTTGGATCAGCGTGCCAACATTGCTCCATTAATATTTTATATTTTAGAGGTGTACTTGACATTATTTTCGGTCTCATTCCATTCATTATTTTCGTTGCTAAATAGTAATCACGAGTGTGATTAATAAAAGGAAATTGCCCGGACGAAACTTCCCACATTAAAATTGCAATACTATAAATATCAGATGCGAAAGTGGATTCTTTTTTAGAAATAACTTCTGGAGCTATATAAGATAGATTCCCGTATATACTATCTAATTTTTTGTCGGCTGGTCCACAAAATCCAAGATCACTGATATAAAATTCTTGATTAAGTTGGGAAAATAATATATTTCCAGAATGTAAATCTCTATGAATTGCATTCTCTTTATGAATTTGAGAAAGTGCATTAATTATATAAAAAATAATATCAATTTTTTCTTTCCATGTAAGGTTACGATTTTTTTGTAAATATTCTCTTAAATCCATATTCATTTGTTGTATTACGAGAATATAATTCCCGTCGGATGGATCTTTTGTTAAACCGTACAATTTTACTACGCCGGACCATTTGTTACTTAAAGTTAAATGAGATTTAACCTACAAAATAAAATTAATATAAGATTATAATTATCTTAATAAGAATATCGTTTTTTTTTTTCAAACATTTTCCGACTCTGAACTTTTATCATTTGCACCAAAAGTTCAAAAACAATACAATTTGAGAAAAATATAAAATATAAATTATTAACGAAGAATTAGTACATTAGTACTACACGCATCTTGCATGTAAAAATGTAGTTTAACTATAGCGAAGATTAGCGTAGATTTAGACGTGGATATTTTAAATAAAATGCAAGGTTATGTAATAATGAGAGACAAATAGTGCGTGAGCGTAGAAAATTAACGATACAATTTATATTTTACGAAAGTGAAGTTTTAATAGTACAAAGTTTTATAAATAATGAATATTATTTCGTTACTATATATTCGGATATGATATGAAAACCCTTATAAATCAGTTTTATATTACAAAAAAATATTAGTTTTATAAAAATTTATGAGGCTAAAATACTTTTATTTATTAAACATTTATTTTTTAGGTTTGGGAAAGGGAACCTTTCCTAAATACTTTTAAGGTCGCTATAAAAAAAAAAGTTTACTCTTTTTTTAAAAAAGCGGCGCTCAATGAAAGAAAGTACGGGCGCGGTATTTTATCAGAGTCTATTTTCTATTTTCTATTTAACCTATGCGAACCACTGTAAAACCTCCTACGCTTCTATAAACACCCTTGATCAAGTTAAAAATTCTTACCTCATCAAACCAATTTCTGTTAGTGTTTTCACCATTTTCCAATCTTTTAAGTATTACTTTTTGCTTTCCAAATCTTTTTAATTTTCGTTCTTGATTATTCCATTTAAAATATTCTCCATCAATCCAATCCGCCGTATAAATTTCGGAGTAACCACCTTTAGTTAAATATTCAATATTTCGCAAATTATTATATGGAATCCATTCTATTATCCTATTAGGAGCATATGATTCCATTTGACATTTTCGTATTAAATTATCAATATCTTCATTTTCGGAAGTCCAATCTGAAAAATTTTCTTTTAAATAATTTCTAATACAATATTCACAATATGATATGGCTAAACATTCTTTTTGACAATTTTCACAAATTCTTTTTGTTCCTTCATTATAAAGAATTTTATCTTTGTCAAATGTATTATTTAATAATTTTATTGCTTCTAACTTTTCATCTTTCGTAAGAATTTCTTCATTATTAAGGATAATTTGTTTTATGTATTCGTATTTCTTCTCTAAATTATTGTGAATATTTAAATCTATTAATGATTTTGCTTTATTTAATACACTAAAAATTAATTTATAACGAACGTCGGACATAATGAAATTTTAAAATTTGAAAAAGAAATATTCGAATTGAAAAAAAAGTAAGCTTTTTTATAAGCTTACAAGCATTGATAGGATTTAGGTGATTTGACAATATTTTTGTTATTCATGATAACTGTCCAATAAATGTCAAGTAAATGTTCGGAACGGGGTCAATTTTCCGAACAAAAAACCGAACAGTGTTTGGACAACTTTTTTTTATAGGGCCAGTTTTGGAAAATAAAAAAATTTCAGAAATAGTTTTACCAAGTTTCAGTTTTGACAGTTTCGGAAACTACTAAGTTTCGGGCAGCATCTTTAATCGCCCATTTATAACCCTTCTCCGCCGCTTTCTGATACCAATAAAAGGCCAATTAAAAGAATAAATAGAATTCTTCATTAGATTTTCCGTTGTTCGATTAATAGCTAGTAATAGTCTAGTAGTAGTACAAATTCAACTTTATCCGTAACATTAGAGGCGTTTAATTCTAAAAATAAGAATATTTTTGGTTCTTAAAATAACACTATATGGAAAAGATCATCATCCACAAACGCGTATAAGTAGTTTTGAATGGATTTAGATCATCGGCTTTTTCGCTCAATTTGTAATTTGTCCGAACTGCATGCATATTTTCATATTTTTGGAAAAGAAAAACTGGTAGAAGCATGAAGCATTATGCATAACGCATATGCCTAGGCTTTTTTATAACCTGTGCCACTTTCGCTGCATGTTTAGTTTGTTTAGTTGTTATCAAAGAAAAATTTAATTTTGCTGATCACTTGGATGTAGATCGTATAGAAATTTTCTGGAATTTTTTTTTTTTTCAATAATAGATCGGTAAAGTACAATAGATAGATATAAAAAAATTTTCAGAGATTTTTTTTAATAACAATAGATCAGTATGGTATATAATGGATAGACATAAATGATTCAATAGATTGGTATAAGTATAATAAATAGTTATAATTAAAATTTTCTGAGATGTTTTTCTTAACTACAATAGATGTAATAGAAAATTAACTTATTGAGCTAATAATTGTTTTTAGTAAGATTTTTTTTAGTTCCCATTAATAAAAGTTTTTTTTAACAATAGATTATGTTTAATAGGATTTGTAAAAAATTTTCTAAGATTTTTTTTTAATAACAATAGATAGACAATAAATTTTCTGTGCTTTTTTTTTTTTAATAATAATAGGTGTGATAAGATTTTTGGTGATTTTTTTTTTTTTAATAATAATATATCGGTATATGGTGCAAAGCAACAGCAGGTAACTGATAGTCATTTTATAATAAAAAATTGGTCGATTTCTTAACCAAAAATTGAAAAAACAATTTTTTTTTATTTCTTAATAAAAAATTGGCCAGTTTCTTTGTCTAAATAAAAAAAAAAATTAGTAATATTTTTAATAAAAATTGCTCAATTTCTTTATTATTAAAATTAAAAAAGTGTTAACAAAAGTAGGTTAATAACATTTTATTATTATATATCCTTATAGGATCACACTGTATTTTTTTTACATTTATTGAATAGCTTTATTGATGATATATATAATAAATGAATACTGTTTAAATTTTAAATCATTACAAATACATAATATAATTAGATTTTTATACAAATAGACTATACATTAACTCGTGACTGATTTAATAGTGTGATCGTGAGAGTCTATATAATAAAACACTTATTGTATAGGTCTTTAGGCAATACTTAGCTGTTTTCGATCTCAACCATTTGATCGGTCATATTGTACCACTTCGTGGCACAATCTGAGCCAATCAAATGGCCTCAATCGAAAACAGCACGTTATTGCCTAAATACTATACAATAAGTATATATTATGGTACACAAACTTTGGCCGGAATTATATTTTGGCCAGAATTATGCGATGAAAATAAAAATCGCCTGCAGTGATTTTTATCGCAGTGATTTCATAATAACAGAACATATCATGAGTAATAATCTGTCACGTGTTCTAATCATCGATATACTCTATGTAATAGTAACATTTTCTTGCTCAGCTTGAAAGTATATACCAAATCAGTAAGAAAGGAGCGGTGCAAATGATCACTTATAGAAGAATCATATTCACGAGACTATTCATGGGTCATATTATATAATTAAGATTGCATCAATCTGGATTCTGAACTATCATGTATGTTTTTGCAGTAATTTTCGCTCATATAAGGCCATCAGATGCGTAAAGTTATTAGCATTGCAACATATGCGGTTTATTTTTCTATATATAATTAATAAAATAAGGTGTTGAATAAATTAATTGCCCAGTTAGTTCAGTTGGTTAGAACGCCACAACTTATTAAAATATAAATTTTCAAAGGTGAATCGTGGAAACGCGGGTTCAATTCCTGCACCGGGCTCTCTTTTTGCATACTCTTTTTTTTATATATAAAAAATATTAAAATTATGAAATGATATCCAATTTTGTGTATTTTTCTGTATATCAATAATAAAATGAGATGTTAAACAAAATAATCGCCCAGTTAGTTCAGTTGGTTAGAACGCCACAACTTATTAAATATAAGTTTTCAAAGATGAATCGTGGAAACGCGGGTTCAATTCCTGCACTGGGCTCTCATTTGCATACTTTTTTCTTTTTTTATATGAAAAAAATAATTACGATACCGATAAACTAATCGTCATAAGACGCAGTTTATCATTTCACGAATTTCACGATCAATTAGTATTACCATCATATAAATTGATAAGAAATAAAATTTAACTATACTAACAATTTGGTTTATCAAATTTATATAGTTTACCCGAAACCTCTAACCAAGAATATTTTTATATAAAAATTATTCAATAATAGCTTTTAGAGTTCTTAATAAAATTGATTATTTTAATTTAGTAAAAAATAAAATGTCTATCCCTTTTAATATTATCCGCATATCAAAATAAGCCGAAATAAAGTGACTACACGGTGAAGACTATACAAAAATCCTTATTTTTATTTTTATTTTTAATCTTGTTAAGCTGAATTCTTTATTAGTTTATGCAAATATTTACACGCATATACGAAATATAAAACGTGATAACATGATATTATATATATATTATCTAAAATAGTCTAAAAAATAAATAAATAATCCTTCGTTCATTGCGAAAGAAAAAACATGACTAAAGAAAACCCCAGCCTTTGCTACACAATTTTTACCAAATATATATTCGTGGTGTAGTGACACAAGGCATGAGGTATGGACTATTAAAATCTAATAATTAACATATCGGCTGATCAGAAAAGCCTCCCATAATTTTATACGCTAATGACAATAAGTAACCCATCAGTTATATAATTATATAATGAGATCAACTGAGCTTAAATATTAATTGGCTTGATTTTTTCAATCAGCCGATATGATTGGATTTTTTTTGCACACTATATTTATATTCAATTAAAGAGAAATATATTTTATCAAATATTTTCTTAATACAATGTCTACTATACAGTTTAAAGTACAAAAAACAAAAAAAATGAAGCAATAAGATTAAATAATAAAAAATTATGATCGAGATAAAATATGAGGCTTGACAATTGACACATTCCGGCATACAAAGTTTGTTTGTCATACATGCAATGTCAAATTTAATTTTCAGTTTTCATTAACATAACAATTTTGAAAATGACCCGGCAAACAGGCTTTCCAATTTTTTTTCCAAAAAATTTTATATATAAAATTCATATGAAATTTTTTTTAAATTTAAAAAGATCTGTATAGTCAAAAACTAACCCGGCCGGGATATGAGAACTGAAAATTAAGTTTGTATGGCCTAACTATATTATATGAAATTATCGTTGCTGTTAGTAAACACCACGAAAATAAGCACCTGGCCGGAATTATGGCTATTTTGGCCAGAGTTATGAGTATCTTGGGAGGCATTAAATGCAAAACAAGGTGCTTATATACCGCAAAATACGGTATAACTGTTTGTTGTAGTTATTTCATAGAGAGTCATGAATATCAATGATTTCCACGGCTGCGCCGTAAATATCATTATATTTATGCGATACTCTCTTATCTAACGTCCAGTGATGGGATCATGGGTAGGGATGGGAATCGATTATCGAATCTTCGTAGATTCGATTTTTTGTTCCTTAAAAGATAATCCATTTTAAGCTTTGATAATTAATTCCATGATCAGTAAATATTCCATGATCAGTAAATATATAAATTCTGAATTAAAATTGTAAAATCTATTAAGAAATTAAATATCGTTACTAATATCCAACTGTAAATTACTAGAACATCATTGCCGAGCATTGCCGATCATTTGCCAATCATTTTGTCATTTTTAAGTTTTTGAAGGGAATTATCGATCAATTTTTCTTTTTTGAAAATATTTTAAATCATGCACTTTAATTTTGGATGCAATGCTAAATTAATTTTTTTGCTTAATTTCAATTTTCTCTTTAACAAATGAGATTCGATTTTGATTCGATTATCGATTCCAATCCCTAATCATGGGAAAGATTGGAAAAGATATAAATAAACTATAAAAACACGTGAACATGAAAATATCATCAGAAAAATTACAGGCATAATATATCATCAAAAAATCACTGGCGACTAATTGTAAACTTACAGAGCAGGCAATGCATTTAGCATATGTGTTTAGAATGGTTGTATATATGGTAAAAAGATTTATTTATGAAAAACAATTTTTTCTAAGTCACATGATTTCCCTGCTTTAGACGTCCTCCAAATAAGGAAAGGCGTAGACCGATCTATCGTGTACACGTTAACCATACACTACATGTTTACTTCATCACTTTTATGCATTTGCTCTTCGATAAAGTGTTTCTAAATTTAAAATGAACTTTCTGTAATAATTCAAAATTTCATAGTATTTTCTGTATCACTAACAGAAAGTTCTATCCTTTCAAACTGTATCATTCAGATATAAAAATATAAATAAATATCAATAAAATACGTTCAAATTTTCTAAATTCATTATTGTTATTCGATACTGTAAAATGGAACTCGTAAATACAAAGGATAAAAAATTTTTTGATCCAACACCAAGATTAAAATCTAATCCTATACCAATTAAATTTATTTCTTTTAATAGAAATGATATAAAATGTATCTATTGTGGAGAATACTATTTTGGGGCGCTTTTTTGTCGTGATCAAAAATATTGCAAAAAATGTTTTTCGCGTTATATTTATTAATAATGATATTACTGATAATAATATATACTTGGACAATTATATAATGGACTTGGGATGTAAAAAACATGAGATACTAAGTAAGATAAAAGTACCACAAAGTATTCAAGAATGCTGTAGAAATTGTTTGAGAATTTTAAGTTTTAAACAAATGATAAGATATTTTAGTAATACTTATCTTGTTAATATCAATGATTTCAACCTATACAGTAAGGTGATTGAAAGTGAAAAACATTGTCAATTATGTGGAAAGACACTAGGTAAACTTATTGATGTATGGCGATTAAGACTATGCTCAGATTGTTATCTAATTTCTTTTGAATGTGTAGAATCAACCTTGGCTAAAAAGCAAATTTCAATTCTTTACTTATCATGGTGGTGCAATAGTTATTCTTGTATAAATTGTTCGTCAGGATTAATATTTGCATCAGATTGTCAAAAGTATTGTACAAATTGTCTTATTGTTAACAACAAACATTATTTTTGGACTTACAGGCCAAACTCAATGTAGAAAATGTAAAAGAATCTCACTCATTATATGTAGTTATGTGGATAGTTATCTTTTTGATTTCTTTCTTAATGATATTATCTATTACAACTTAGATATTGCAAACTCAATTGATAAATATTTTGTACTATAAATCATATTAATTTCTAATTTTAATAGTGTAAAATCAGTTAAGTGGATACCATATTCTCAATTTAAAAATGTAAAAGAAATGACAAAAGGGGGATATGGTATTATATATGAAGCAGCTTGACCAACACGTTATTGTTACTCAGATAGAAAAGTCATTTTAAAAAGATTTAAAATAATACTAAATATTTCTTAAACGAGGTGAATATTTTCGTGATTGATTCTTACTAATAATTTAGTCTTTAATCCTGCCTTAATTAAATCTTTAAATTTAATCGTTAAAATCAAATCAATATTGCAAAAATAAACCACTTCATTTTTATATGATTGAAGTTTATTACGTAAAAGTCGATTTTGGAAATGGATAAAGGCATAGGTGTACCGAGCGACGAAAAAATCGTGAATATGATTCAAGCATGGCGACTCAAAGAAAAAGAGGAGAAAGGATCAGATAATGGTGATGAGGATAGCGAGGACGGATTGGGTCTCTCATGCTTGGAAAAATCAGCATCCGAACCTTTGAAACGTGATAATGTAGCGCCAGACGAAGTTGTTGAGATCATAAAAGAACTACGGGGGGAGGAAAAAAGGAGATTTCCATACACACCATACCAAGCATCTGACAACGACGATTTAAATTCTGTTAAATACAAAATGGAGGAAATAGAGCTGATTTTCAAACAAATCAGTAATGAGATGGAATGGGAGAAAATCAACGTAGAGGCCTTGCAATCGATCAAAAATGAACATGGATTAACTACACCGGGAGAAGTTAAAACTTGGGTATTGAAAACGAACAACTTTTTGAGGCTAGGCCAGAAAATCATCAGCATAGCGGAACAAAGCAAGATAATGAGCGAATATATGACGATGAACGAAGAATTCAGAAAATGCTTGAAGGACGAAAATAGAAGAACCGACGAAAAAGAAACGGGAGAGAAAAGGCCAGTTCCAGAAACCCCTTCGCCAACAAGTTCAAAAAGAGGATGAGAAATCAGGAAGAATGGGAGGAGGAAATGATTTTATGACGGAACAATTGGAAATTGCATCTTTAATTGAAGTCACATGATTACACGTATAAAAGTTTTTTCTGATAACAAATTTAAAAAAGAGATGCTTCTGTTACCACCGATTTGTGTAGTTCGGGAGGGCAGTAACAGAAATATATACGGGTTAATTTATAGAATTTGACTAACAATAGGCAGTAATCGGCAATAAATCGTGAGGAAATGGGTAGGGTTTATCAACAATTAGCAATAGATTTATAAACAATGTATATTTATTGAATGTATAACAATCGGAAATAAAATTGACAATAAAAACAATAACGAAATGTATAAAATTGGAGTGATCGGCGGGTTCTTTATTAACAATTACAAAAGAATTTCCTAATATTACTGCCTCTGCCGGCGCTCTGTAATATTCCCAAGGTTCTATCTAAGTGTTAATAATCGAAAAATCACTTCTCCGAAACCTCAGCGGAATCTCTTCCCTTAAATATTGTTCGAAATTTGGGACGATTAGTGCTTTGGCCAACTCGCCCGTTATTCAAATCGTCCAAAGTACGACTCGTTTTCCGGCCAAATCGTCCATTGTACGAATAGCCCATCACAGCCATAATTGATTCCCACTAAGCCATACGCCACATTTCCTATAACTATATATATAAATTGTATAAATAAACTATATAAATAAAATAAACTATACTATATAAATAAACTATATCAAATAAAAATAAAATAAACTAAATATAAATAAATAAATAAATAAAATATACTATAAAAAAAAATAAATCATATAAGAATAACTATATAAAAATTCCCGTGACACTTCTAACTTTGATTTTTGTTTTAGAAGAATTGTAGGGAATGATCGGGCTGTATACTAAATTTTTTGAGATTATTCAAATTTAAATTAGCTAGATGTTCTCTTAAATTAGTTCTTCTTAGATTTAGATTTATATTGGGTTCAGGTTAAGTATTTTATTTATTTTTTTTTTGTGTATTTGTTATGTATTAGGATAGATTAAACTCTGTTATAGGGGGGTTTCATGTTGCACGAAGTCACGAACCACTCTAGGTATCTTGTTTACAGGATACATTAATATCCTAATAAAGAGATGCGTTACAGTGTTTTTTATTTTTATTTTTTTTTAAAAAAAAATTAATTATTCGGCGTATTATTTCGCGTGATGCCCAGTCACCTACTGTTGAAGCAAACCCTTTGTTAGACAATGACCACTATAATAAAAATAAGTAAATAATAACAAAATTTTCAATCATCCGAAAAAAATTTCATGATCTGCATCTAACTTAATTAAATCTGGCAGTTGTGACAAACGTATTACCATTTTAATTATATGTAGGATCTCTCTTCAGACAACTCTTTAAACATCTTAATATTTCCTTTGAGGTTATGACTAACTTGGTGTCGTAAAGCCTCCTAGATATTAATCGTAAATACAGTAGATATCTTTAAATAGCCACCTTCAGTTTAGTAAATGATATAATTACCCGATAACTGTTATACTCTTCTTTTTCTATATTAAGTACTTTGCGAAAATCCAAATATTTACGACCAACTTTTGGCTTAGGAATAGGCTAGTAATTTTACTCAATAATTTTTATCAGCAATACAATTTCATTTAATTTATTATAATAATTACCTCACACAGTCACGCTCATCATTAATACTTAAATCAAATGAATGTTGGTTAAGTTTAGCATGTTTGGATATTTTCTTTAGCCTAGGTAACTCTGAATTATCACTTGAAATATCATCATCATCTAACTTTCTTCTTACATTATTAACAGTTTGCTGTTTTTCTTCTTTATTAAGATGTTTTTGAAGACGTGCATTTTCAGCCTCCAATGCCACAATACGTTCCATAACAAGAGTAAACTTGTGATTATTATCATGATACTGTTTAGCAGTCTCAAATTCATCATTTGATATAGAGGAATTATCGTTTGTGTTTTCACTTGGTGAAATATAATCATCCTCAGAATCATTACTAATTGTTGCTTTTACTTCTTTTTCTTTCCATTATTGTAAAAAAATTACTTATATAATAAAATAAAATTTAATTGTTATTTGAGCAAAAAGAATTATAAAAGTAGTTTTGAAAGAAAGTTGTGAGTTTATTATATTAAAAAAAAAAGTGAAAGAATTAAAAAATTATACTATTTTTTTTTCGGAATATTTTTATATTTGATGATTTAATTATAAAAGTTATATTAAAAATTATTTAATTTTCAAATATATTTCTATTACAACCATAACATTACTTTAAAATTATTATGTCATTAGTATGGTGTACCTGTTATAAGTGTCAGGAAGATACAGGAGATGGTTCTTATGTTAGTAAATCAACACGCACATATCACTACCGTAAGCATTAGGCGACACAAAGTGGTAAAAATGGTTTTCATAGTCCGGCCGGGTCAGTTTTGTTAAGTCTCAAAAAAAAATTTTTTATATTATTACTATGCCGGGTGAGAATTTTTTAAAAATTGAAAAAAAATTTCGCATATAAAATTTTTGAAAAAAAAAAATTAAAAGCCGGGTTGCCGGGTTATTGATGAAATTTTTATATTATGAAAACCATAAAATCAAGTTTGTATGGCCTTATCAACATAATAAGCAAGAATATTATTCCTTTTATTCAAATGAAATAATAATAAACCATAGTAGTAATGATACTACGGAAATGGATAATTTCGGGTATGTTGATTTTTTTGAACAGATAATATAATAATGTACCAATATATTAACTTTTGCAAATAATAGTCTAGTGCCGATGGATGAAGCATCAAGATATGAACCAATGGGCGAAGCATCAGAAGATGGACCAATGGATGAATTATCAGAATATGAGCTAGTGAATGAAGCATCAGAAGATGGACCAATAGATGAAGTATCAGAACATGTGAAGTGCCAAGATATGATTAACTAATGAATGAAGGTATTGTGGAGCAGGTGATGGTGCTACACAATTCATTGATGTTACTACGATAATAATCAACATGTACCACCAAGAACACCACCAAGAAATCAGAGAGATTTTGATTCGAAGGAAAGAAGAAATAATTTTAATCAAGAAACCTCTTATGCAACAAATTCACGACAAGTAAGATATTTTAACAATATATAAATTTGTTAATATTTTTTTTTTATTTGATAATTAAAATATTTTTTTGTCATTTTTCCGATTAATATTTAGCCACGAAACAGATATTACGATTAAATACAAAATACAAATTATCATTTATATATATATACAGTATATATAGTCATTTATTCATTTATTTTAATTTTATTATCAATTATATATATTCATTTATTTTTTATCAATTATATATATTAGAAGATTAGTTATAGAATTAGGGCTGCCTTTAACAAATGTTTTCGTTTAACATACTCCTTTGTTTTTTTACATGTAATAACAATAAATAAATATCTCCTTGGTCTTCTAAATATAAATTTGTTATTTTTTAAAACAAAAGGTCTAGTAATTGTTGACGATCTCATGACGTGAGCATGTATTTTTTCAGCACCCTTTTTTTGTGTCAGGTTCGCGGCGCAGCCAGCAAATTGTGGCGCAACGAAAATCATAAAGAGGATTTTTTTTTTTTTAATAATAACATATAGCTTCAAAAATTACTAAATAGATGTAATTTTTGGTTGCTCTTCAAGTTTACTTAGAGACAAAGGCGATTTTAAATATCATTATTGATTTATTTGACAAAAATTTTTACATTTATATGTAAAGTCAACCTTCTTCCAAATCCTAAGTAAACTTGCAGAGCAGGTGAAATTACATCTACAATATAATTTCAAAAACTTTATGTCAAAGAAAAAATCCTTAATGATGTTACTATATTTAGAATATGAAAATGTTCAAAATTTTCGTAAATATTGCTGCGCCACGAACCTGGACACAAAAAAAAAAAAGGTCATGATATGCTTATCACAATACCACATGGTTAATTTAAGGCTTTTGAGGTCATGAGGTGTTACACGCGTTTTGTTTACGAATATGGAAATTATTTTCTTTATAAAAAAATCTTAAAAACATTCTTTCTCTCACACTTCAACTCTTTCAAAAAAAAATGCAAAACTCCGAATATACAAAAAATTTATCTATTCCAATTCCTCAAAATATTTTAATTGGTAAATTAATTGGTCGTGAAGGACGTAATATAAAACCCATTGCATAAAGAACTGGTACACACATTTACGTTGATACAAATAAAATTCCAGCACAAATTAAAATTTATGTTAACAATAAAAAAGAAATTCCTCCATTTGAAAATAGAATTAATGATGCAAGTAGTCAATTAAATGATTTGTTAAACAAAATTTCTCAACAAGAAAATAAAAAAGTTGATAAAATTAAAAAGAAAAAAGAACTTTCTTTATTTGAGAATAGAATTAATGATGCAAGTAATCAATTAAACGATTCAACAAAACAAATTTCTCAACAAGAAAATAAAAAAGTTGATAAAATTAAAAAGAAAAAAGAAATTTCTTTATTTGAGAATAGAATTAATGATGCAAGTAATCGATTAAACGATTCAACAAAACAAATTTCTAAACAAGAAAATAAAAAAATTGATAAAATTAACAAGAAAAAAGAAATTTTTTTATTTGAGAATAGAATTAATGATACAAGTAATCAATTAAACGATTCGACAAAACAAATTTCCAAACAAGGAATTGATAATATTAACAAGAAAAAAGAAGTCCCTCTATTTGAGAATAGAATTGGTCAATTAAACGATTTGATAAATAGATTTCCTATAAAAAAATTGATAAAGATAAAAAAGGTAAAAAAAAGGAAAAGAAAAAAAAAGATAAAAAAGTTTTAAAAAAAGTAGAATTTGAAAGACCTTCAAAGGAAGTGGAAGTTGAAAGACTTTCAAAGGAAGTACAACATAAATCTCAAGAGCTCAAGAAAACTTTGACGAAATTTGTGGTTAATAAGATTGCGAAAGTTGCAGATGTTGCGGTGGTTAATGATGATTTACCAGAAAAATTTTCAAGATTTTCAAAAAATTTCAAAAGAAAATGTAAAAATAAGCCTAAACATAAGAAAATGCTTGATGGAATGTGTTGGAACGGGGTTGACTGTATAAGAAAATTTTGTCAATTTGAACATCCATCTGTTCGTCAATATTATAATCATTATTTAATATTAAGATACAAGAAAGAAATTTATTCAAGAAAACATAAAAGAGATTTTAAAAAAGAATCTAGACTTTACATAAAAAATTATAAAATAGAGAATTAAGATAAAAAATCATTAAGAAGAAAATTTCAAGATAAAACAATGGTAAGTTACATATTATACATTGACTTACGGAGTCATATTATGTATATAATAATTACTTAATTCCTTCTCGTCTAAATTTGCAGTAGTCAAATACATATTGAACTTGAAATTCCCTTTCGTACCTTTTTTTTTAGTTTTTGATCATTGGGAATGGGACAACTTCTATTGTGGTGTCAAATGTATATATTAAACATTACTTATTTATTATCTTAACTTGTATTTAAATTGGTAAATTTGTAAATAAAGCACATATTATATATCAAATACTTACGTTAAACACATAGTTAATATCCACTGAACTTTTTAATTCTTTTCAAAAAGTATCGGAGACTTTTAAATTATGGTTACCATATATCACTTCATAGGCTGTTCTCATTTAATAATGTATACCACTCAAGATCATGACTAATTTCTAATTTTATTTTTTTTTAAAAAAAATTAAACACGCTATTTTCATACACAACAATATTTTATCCTACTGGCGGTCTACCAAGATCATTTTTTAAATTTTTTAACTAAAATTTAGTATAAATAAAAGTATAGTTATATATTATTGGTTTGATGGGACCATTCATGCAATAAACTCACGTTATTATTTCATTGGTTGATCGACAAGGATTCTGATTGGCTAAATCAAATTTCATAAGAAACAACTTCGTAATGCCAATCTTGGAGTTTCACAAAAAGCTTCAGAAGAAATGATCGTCTCTTCATATTTCAACCTTATGATACGTAGGTTTTTAATGTGCTTAATATGACACATCATGATTTATATATAGCATCTATAAATTAAAAGGGATGGTTAGCTTTTGCTAAGTACTCAAAAATTTCATCCTGCAATCTGGTAGGTGACGTGAGGCAGTATCCTTCTAAAGTATCAAGTAACATAACGAAGCAGTCCGGATCTTCTTCCTATATATTAGTGTCGATATTTTCACCGTCCGTTCCTGAAAACTGCACAATAAAAGGTATAGCTACAAGTATCTGTTTGAAAGAACTTACAAAAACACAGCTTTAGGTTATTGTGTCCTTTCACTGACATCTCTCCTGGACACACAAAGATTTGTTATCATCCAGAAATTCTGAAAACAGAGAAGGACGTTCACAGTAAAACTGTGGCCACGAAGCGCTTCCAGTTCTCTGAATCCAAAAGTCCTCAATGAGAACAAATCATTGCATGAAAGAAGTTGAAGAAGGCACATAACTATTCCTCATTGCGGAACAGTAGACCTCAACACTGAGAAGATCTTATTCGTATCTCAGCCAGGTCCATCAGTTAACAGAGTTATCATAGATAGACCTGCCAGCTCACAAGGTTGCCGTAACTTCCTTGATCATTGCATCCACTTGTTCACCTTACCAGAAACAAGGGAAATGGGTTAACATACCTTTAATATTGAAATTTGAAACCCAAGTATTGATTTTGCAAATGCACCTCAAGAAGAAAAAGAAGACAGTAAAAAAAAGTGAAGACCGAAAGAAAGAAAAAACTGAAAATGAAAGACTAAAAAAAAAGAGGGAGAAGTCTAAAAAAGAAAGACTGAAAAAAACGTAAAGTCCTAAAAAGACAAAAAAAAGATCTAGAAAAAAAGATGGTGTCTTAAAAAAAGTGAAGACCGAAAGAAAGAAAACTGAAAATGAAAGACCAAAAAAAAGAGGGAGAAGTTCTAAAAAGAAAGACTGAAAAAAATGTAAAGTCCTAAAAAGACAAAAAAAAAAGACCTAGAATAAAAGAAGATGGTGTCTTAAAAAAAGTGAAGACCGAAAGAAGGAAAAGACCGAAAATGAAAGACCAAAAAAAAGAGGGAGAGGTCCTAAAAGAAAGACCGAAAAAAAGTGAAGTTTAAGACAAAAAAAAAGACCTAGAAAAAAAGAAGATGGTGTCTTAAAGTGTAAGACCGAAAGAAAGAAAAGACCGAAAATGAAAGATAAAAAGAAGTAGAAGTCCTAAAAAGAAAGACTGAAAAAAAAGTGAAGTCTAAAAAGAAAAGACTAAAAAAAAGAGAAATAGTTTTGTAGAAATAATAAAGAGGAAGTAGGGTCTTTTATATATTTTTTTAATCAAATTGGAATGACTCATAACTTATTTGGAATGACTCATGTACTTTCAGATTTTCCTGAAACGCGAAAAACAATCTGATTAATAAGCTCAGAAGCTCAGATAGTACGTGTAAATCACATGATTACCTGTCTTGATCACAATACTTACGAGCAGATATTGTTTATTGTTATTTTTACATAATACGAAATAAAATACATTCATTTAAAATAAAAAAATGATATAATTCTAAAAATCGTGATCTAAGTATCTGTAATAAACGGGTTTTCATATTCTTCGGAATTTCGGAATTTCAAAAATAAAAAAAAATGATTGTTGCAATAACAATATAATAATAACAATACCTTGCAGGATCATGTTAATTTTGCCCGCAGTCAATCTAATCAAAATTTATAAATGAATAATATAAATAATATAAGAAGGACAGTAGACGAACCATGAAATATTTTTTATGAGATTATTATCCTGAAATTTCACTAGTAATATCGCATTATTCACAATTTCAAATAAAAACTTCGTCTTCTTAAATTTGTTATAATAATAATTAAATCATACAATCAAAATTTATTCAATAAAAACTAAACGTGATTTAACAATCATATCTAATATAAACTAGAAGACTCTTGATATGAAATTTTGAAAAAATGATCACTTCAATCTATACCTTTGAATTTTTATTATATATAGATAAAATAATAAATTGTCTCTACACGCAGGTAAGTTGCTATCTCGTAAAGCTACTTACTAATCACAATCATTATGAATTAATATGTTTTTAATAAAATAATATTACTAAACTTCTGGAATTTTAGGATGAAAGTCAAGTTAATATGAATATAAGAACTTAGGTGCTTGTCATCTCAATAGATACGAAGATATTGAACAGGAAAGTTGGTTAGTTTCTTTCGAATCTTTATTTTTTTACGATATACCAAAATATTGGACTGAGGAGGATATTAGGACGAATTTATCGAAAATAGGGAAAGTGTTCCGGATACAAGTGAGACAACAATACAATACAAATCAGTGAGGGCTCAAATATTGTTGAATGAAAATCTTTAGATGACTTTCAACAAAGACACCTTCAGAATTTATATTAGCAAACATTTCATAAGATGGTACGACGCAGGGAACGGGTTAAAAATGAGACAAGACCGGGACAAGTGGCAATTGGTTAGAGACCTAACTAAAGAGGAGATGGAGGAAATTACAAAAAAAAACAATGGATACGATTTTTTAAAGAAAATGCAAACGGAATATACCGCTGCTTTTATTAAAATTATCAAGATCACACAAGGATATTTTAGTAATCACAAAATGATGGAAAATGCGGTTGAACTCGCAATGAGCAAGAACGATCTAGCGAAGGTTTGGATGGTGCATAATCTCAAAACGGTTTACAAGAGCGGAAAAAGTGACCAGGCAAAGCCCTCGAGTAAATTACCACTAAAAAATAGTTCTCCAGAGGTAAATGTTTCTTTATCGCAAACACCTCCAAATCGGATTTATATGGAGTTAGTAAATATGGCATCAAGAAACTATAAAAATAATTTACCTCCAGTTACGGGGAACGAAAAAGAGAAGATTAATTTGGAGGAAAAGGAAGTTGTCAATATGATTAAAGATTGGAGGATTAGAAAGAAAGAAGAAGAGCCAGAATCAGATGACTCAAGCGATGACGACCTTGGAATCAATATGATGGAAAAATCAGCCGATAGACCCTTACAACGTGATAACATTGACACGGACGAAGTTGTAGATATTATAAGAGATTATCAAACAGATAGAATCGTTTATAATTCAAAAAAGGAGCAATTAAGTCCGAAAAAGAATTAAGGGAACATTGACTGTTTTGGAAGAAATATTTGAGGAGACATCAAATATGATGGAATGGGAACACATAAACTTGCAAGCAGTTATGGAGGTTAAAAAAGAGAACGGTTTCAACATCTGGGATGTATCACCTAAATTTAAAAATTGGGCGATGCAAACAAATAATTTCCTTCTTTTGGTAATAAAATCATTAGTTATGCGGAGCAAAATAAGATCTTGCAGGAATATACAAAACTTAATGATGATTTCAAAAATAAACTAAAGGAGGAGCACCGATGGACAGATGAAAAAGAGATTGGAGAGAAAAGACCAAACCAGATTCACCAAAGGTTGAGATTGCAAGGAAGAAAAATGAAGAGAACGATTTGAGAGAGAAAATTACATTAATTTTGTCAATCGAAGTCACGTGATTTCACGTATAAAATAATGCCGATAACAAATTTCTACACAAATGTAATTTAATAGCATAGCATACTAACTTTTTCTTTTTGTAGGGTAATGGGAGAAAAGATTGAATAATTGTTTACTGGGCGTGGGTCTGTTTGGGATTCATCTATTTTTTATAGTGTTAGGCTTCAGTCTTTATTACAAATTTTCACTCATTTTTCCCTACGTAATATATAGAGCAAATTTTTAGTTAGGTCTCATTTTAGTTTTGGCTTTGTTTTTATTAGGATAGATATACTCTTGTTATAGAGGCGCCTCGTGTTAGCACGGGTGTTTCTAGGTAACTATGTATACGGATCGATTAATTTTATCCTAATAAAAGATGCGTTACAAGTTTTTTTTTTTTCAAAAAAAAATTACTTTTGAATCACATGACGCCAGAAATGAGTCATTTCCTAAGGCATGATAATGTTACACTTTTTCCATTTTTGGACGTTTGTAGTTAATATAATTCTGACCAGAATTATACTTTAATTTTGCATTTTTTAGTGTATTTTTTTTTTAATTTTTCTAGTTTACAACCTAGGAAAAATGAAATTAGATACTATTACAATAAGGGTCGAAAATAGTCAGGATAAACTTATAAGCAAGTATAATAGAAATAATTTCTCGATCAGTAAGAACAAGCAACTACTCTGCTTTACACGAGGGCTTCATGTATATTGCACATTAAATCTCGTATAAAAGTATTAAATAACTAAAATTTAATATGTTTATTTCTTAAGGTTATACTTTATGGAAAATGGTTTGGAAGCCACATCAAAGAAATTTGATAGCATTGAAAAAATTCACTTATTAGAATTAGGGATGGCAACGGTCACGGTCATTAACCGGTTATGACCGGTCATGACCGTGACCGATATCGGTCGGTCGGTCAAAGGTTCTTGATCGGTTATGACCGACCGATGACCGACCATGACCGACCGTTGCCATCCCTAATTAGAATTCATTGAAGAAGATAAGAAACTAGTTGTAGTAGGTAGTATCTCAAAAGAGAAAAAACTGACAATCATAATCTGGGACACGTACAATAATTTTAGAGATATTGAAACAACAATGGAATTAAAGAAAGATCTTGAGAAAGATAATCTTGATAATCTTGCTACTCTTGCTATTCGTCTAGCCAGAACTTCGGGAAATATTTTCCAAATCGATAATGATGGAAAAGTTTCATCGGTCCTTAAAGAAGTTAAAAAAAAAGAGGAGAAGAGAAAAAGGAAAAATTAAATAAGGCTATATGTCTAGCTTAATATTTATTTTTAGTGAAGATACGAAAAAAGGAGAAAATGGTAGTAGACAAAGGTGAGATAGACAAAAAAAATATAAACCCATAAAGTAAGTAACATAATAAGGAATGAAATACAGAACGAAAATACAAAAGCAAATAGAAAAACAGTGATGTCAATTACGGAATGGAGATATAACTCATGCCTCACCTCTTTTCTCACCACAACTATAGTCTGTACATGACTTAATGGAGATATGTGCTCCAAGAACACACAATTATATTGAAACTTGGCATCGTCGCTGAGCGCTGGGCAATTTTAAGTTAATCGATACTATAGTTAATGAGTTTCAAAAGGAGCAACGACAAGTAGAACTTAAAAGTTGAAAATATTCTTCGTGGTGCTCAATATCCAAAGCAAAAGAAAAATTTAATTGACAGGGAAATAGAATTATGACAATTTTTAATGATGGCAAAATCGTTTATTACTGATGTTCTGCATGGATTAGCATATAATTTTTCTTTGTAAGTTATTTATAGTTGATAGTTCATTATTACTTTATAGTATTTTAGTTTAGTACTTTCAAAAATTTATTTGGTTTTAAGTCAACTGCAGATTTTTGCAAAATATTATCAAAATTATCAAAGACCAATAAGAAGTATAAATTTTTGTAATAAGACATTAATATTTTGCAAAGTATTTTAGAAAATCACAATATATTATTAGATTTATTAATTTTTAAAATAAAACTTTAATTTTTAAAAACTTTATATGTTAATTAGGAATGTTTTATTGATAGATATATTTTTACATAAGTTACTGTGTTCTGAGACTAAAAAATATACACATCAAAATTACATCTATTTTTTCTATTTTACAATTGTGATTACAAATTTAACAATTTAACATAACAAAATCTCCACTAGCCAAATCAAGAATTCTTCCAATAAATAATATTATTTTAATAGATTTCTCAAATAATTTTTTTTAATACTGTATATTTCAAAATAAAACTTTATAATATTAAATCTAATTTTTGTAATTAGGTCTATGGAAAATTATAGTATATTTTCAAATGACTGAGTTTATACATCAATAGACCGGTACACGTGAGTGACACGTCTGATCAGGTTACACCAGCCACTGATCAATAAATAGCTTAGTAGCGCGCGTAGCAAGTTTTATTGATGTTGATTACTTCTTTTTTCTTTTGTAGAAACACGCAGACCAAAGGTAAAATAGGATTTTAGGGTTAAGAAATGTTTCTAAAACATTTCTTCGCTTTTAGTATAGACTCCGTTAGTCTTGGACATGAGGAAGATAATAAGTGTAATAAAGGATTAAGAAACGTACTTTGTTTAAAAAAAAAGCTAAAAAGCACCCGCAAGAAAAAAATCAAAAATTTTTAACGAAATGTTTCTACATTTTCTTTTTTAGGCAGTTCTTTCAGTCTCCCTGGACGCGATATTTGGTAAGTTTGTCATTTTTTTTTTTCTTTATTTGTTTTTATTTTAACGAACGGTTTCTAATTGTTCGTTTTCTTGCTTTATTTTTAGACGACTTGGTTCTTTAGGTATTTAGACACATGGGATGAGACTCTGGGCGCGTGGAATTTATAAAAAAAATCTTTCCGAATGTTTGATAAACGCCTTTTATCTCATTTAGTAAACTAAAATTTGTAATAGAAGGGAAGTAAGTTTTATTTTTTTCAGTGGGGACCGCTTTTGAGAAATTCAGTATGGAGTTTTCTCTGAATATTTCTTTGACGGAACGTTTATTAACGTTTCGTTTTATCTTTTTATTTAAACGATTTCATCGAATATCTATGAACGTGGACATCGGTAAGACACGTGAGATTTCTTCGATTAAAAATCATGCAGTTTTCCTTGAACATATTTCCTTTAACGAAACGCCTTACAACGTTTCGACTTCCTTTTTTTTTAGGCGACCGGATCTTGGACGTGTGGGCTCCGTTTCCTAGTTTTACTTCAATTCTGTTTCGTGGCAATTCGGATTCACATTTCAACAATAGCTTCAAGGTATATATTTATTAAATGTATACTAGACTTTCAGCAATATTCTACGTCCGTTTGTGCACAACCGTTAGTTGCGACCCCTTTCGGCCGATCTTTGGCAGCATGAACCTGGATAGATGCATTAATGGCATGCTCTAGATCCTATCAAGACTTCTCATTGTCACTGACTCTGTGGTGATTGTTGACCTTCGTCCTACCGTTTGTGCACCACCGTGACTTGCGACCCCTTTCGGCCGATATCTGGTATCCTGTCGTTTGTGCACCACCGCTACTAGCGACCCCTTTCGGCCGATATCTGATATCCTGTCGTTTGTGCACCACCGTGACTTGCGACCCCTTTCGGCCGATATCTGGTATCCTACCGTTTGCGCACCACCGCTAGTTGCGACCCCTTTCGGCCGATGTCCGTCAACATGAACCCTAGATAGTTGCATTTATGGCATGATCCTAGATCCTGACATGTCTTCTCATTGTTACCGACTCCGTAGTGATGTTGCTAAAGTCCCCCTTAAGCTAATTAGTATGTTTTCATTAAACTAATTAGCTTTTGATTTTATTTTATAGATATCAAGAAATTAACACAATAGTTATCCAATATATTGAAAGTGTATCAAACTTGTTATTTTTTCGAGCCTTTTGTAATTTTTTTAGATATAATTTACTACAATTTTGAAAATATTTATCATCTAATTTTATTCATCACATGATCGACCAATATTGATATTGCAATGTTAAACTAAATAGAATAATAAGGATTATGAATCATTTTCTTCTCATCCTATTTGTATTAATCTCTGATGATTATTAACGTTATAAGACTATTATTCTTATGAGTAAGTTAAAGGATTTGTTACAAAAATACTTTACCAAAGAACCTACATTGATTGGAAAAATTTGTATTGAATTAAAAAATCATTATAACTGTTTCTGAAAATGATTTGTTTAGCGTATAATAAAAAAAAATGCAAATATTAATAATTAATCATACTATACTGTATCTCATTTTTTTGAATAGTTTTATTTATACGCACATTATCTCTGATTTTTGCATAATTGTTAAATTACATGCTTCTATTGGTTAAAAAAAACAATATATATTGTCATTTTTTGATAATAATGGAAATATTTATAAACTGTATTATATATAAATAATGAAAATTGGGAAGAAATTTATTATTTTAATAATAAATTCATTTAAACTTTCATTTAAATTTTATCTCAATTATTAATTCAATTATTAGTCCGAATATGAAGGTGAGGATTAATATATATAATTACTAATTACTGAACTATTGATTCCAAAGAAGTGAGACTATAACATCTACGTATGTAAATTATTCTTTACACGCAAGATATGTAACGAAATTAA